TTTGATTGGTATTACATATCAACCTATTAAATATGAAAATGAGCTATTGTCAAAAATAATGTAATAATTCTATTGATATGTAAATAAATTTTGCGTTTATTCTTTACTCGTGTTTATTCGCAATTAAAAATATGTATCTAATTATTAAAATTTTTCTATCCAATTAAAATCTAAATTTGAAAAAAATCTTTATCGTAATAAGTGTTTTTTGATTCGAAGAGATTTCATCGCGAATATTACAAAATTTAATTTTTTAATGAATTTTATAATATAAAAATAAAATTTTTATTTGAAACTAAATAAATAAAAGTTATTCATTCGATTATCATCCGATACAATTCAAGACCTAGACTGTGTACTTTTATCGATTCGAGCGATTCGTTGCTTAATTTCATCTCGAAAAGCGGAGATGAGAAATTCAGAGAAATGACGTAAGATTCGAGAGGGATAATAAATTCTTTCGCGAGTATTACTAAAAATATCTTTTTATATTATTTATAAATTATTAGTATTACTTTATATATAATAAATTATTTCAAAATCAAATATTTGAAGTGACACAAAACTGATCACAATTTTGAAACAATTAATAAATAAAAAGATAAAATTCTTCTATTTTTAATAAAACGTTCAATAAATCTCACGTCAAATGTATTATTCTTTTAATTGGTAACCCAATTATTAATTATTACGTATGGATAAATTTAGGCTAAAATCAATGCATTGTGATAAATAATAATTAGAAATCATAAAATATCTTCTATAAGAAAGCAAAATAAATTGTATGAAATATATAGACATTAAAATATTACTATTTCATTATAAAATATACACGTATAATTATAAGGCAATTGAAAAAAGTACTTAAAAAGCAATAACTGTTTACATGTATAATTGTTTCTTGCACTAACATATATAAAATTAAATCCTGGATGAGCATTTGAAAATAGGATAGATGGGAAAAATAATCAAACAATATTTGTTGTACTCTAATATACTTTTCCAATTGATGACAATTTTTTTCATTTAGTATAACTATTTTTTTATATATTCCTTTTATTTTAACAGATTTCAATTTTTAATTTCATATATAGAAAAATATATAAACGTTCCGTTTTTTTAATTTTTTTCCATTTGATAATATACGAATACCATGAGCTAATTTGTATAAAAGCAGCATTAAAAAATAAAAAAAGATAAAATATTTTATTTAATTTTATTTAATCAATTATTTTTCATATTTTACTTTATATTTGTAAAAAATATATTTCTAATAAATAATAAGTATAAAAATTTAATAAATTTCATGTATTTGATTTTAAAATTAACCCAATAATATCATTAAACAATCAACAAAATTAATAAATAATATAATATCATATCCTCATGGTATTCTTAATTTTTCTAAAGATTTAGTTATTGTGTATGCATTCGAAATTATTTCGATATGCAAACTAAATCAATCTCGTATGCACAATATATTCAATAAGAAGGAGACATCCAGGACTTAGTTTATTCCAATCTGTTTTAATTTAGTCATTTTAAGACAACGGATGTATAGGATACTATATACATATACTTATCCATATATTATTGTTAAATTTATGCATATATGCATTTAGATAATATACTAATAAATTTATTGCACATCCATTATCTTAATAAAAACGTAATTAATTCATCACTCACTGATCCGATCATTCATCAGCGCAACAGTGGAGTTATATCTGCAACGATGATTCTGTAAATAAATGTAAAAGCCAAATTAAAACAAAACTAAATTCAATCATTGTTTAAAAAAAAATAGTTATTTAAAAAAATAATAATTATATATAAACGCATGCAGAGTGTTCTCCAAAATAATCACATTTTGAAAATTTAATATTCATAAGCATCGGATTTTTTTGTCATCATTTAAATAGATACTTATGAAAAAATTATTTTGGACACTCTGCATGCGTTTATATATTATATAATTATTTTTTAAAATAACTATTTTTTTAAACAATGATTAAATTTAGATTTGTTTTAATTTGGCTTTTACATTTATTTGTTACAGAATCATCGTTATATCGTCGCAGATATAACTCCACTGTTGCACATGATCGGATCGGTGAGTGATGAATTAATTACGTTTTTATTAAGATAATGGATGTGTAATAAATTTATTAGTATATTATCTAAATGCATATATGCATAAATTTAACAACAATATATGGATAAGTATATGTATATAGCATTCTATACATTTTCTGAAGAAGACTTTAAAAATAAATTTATAAAAAATTTTAATTTTTAAGTAATTCTTTATTTTCTAATTATTATTTTTAAATTATTGTTAAGATTTAAGAACAAACAAAAAAAAGATTAATTTTATACAGATAAAGAATAATATTTACCGCAAAGTTTCTCCACTGGTGCCCGATGTCTCTCTCAGATCTCCTCCTCCTCTCAGAGTTGGGGTTGACACATCCTCTCGCACTGGACACTCGCGAAAAACACTCGCGAATAATGGACTATAATCGCACGTGGACTATAACTTAAGTCCGATTACTTGAACGACACTTCCGAACAACGCGCGACGCGACGAACCGGCTGCGGTTCGTTCATTTTCAAATTAATCGGCGGCGAGAGTACGTTAGCTTCTCCATTGGATTTTTACACGAAGAGAATGATTTTACTCAATATCTAAAAATTTATTTAGATATATTATTCAGATCCAAAAATTTTTAGATTTGAGAAAAACTGTTCTTTTCGTATAAATATCCTCTGGGTACTGAGCTCTCCTATCACGTGTACCCGTAAGAGGAAAGATAATCTGGAAAATATAATATATAGCTATTATATAGATAAAAAGGTTGAATCTTTTATTTATAAATGATGTCTGTAAGATATGAATAGAGTGAATGAAATGAGCTATTTAATAAAAAAGAGAAATGTTTCTTTATTATATTGATAATAATAGTTCCAAGAGTTACGTTTAATTTTTAAACATATAACGGAAGGTGCACAAAAACAAAAAAATAATTAAATAATTAAATTATATTAATTCTGAAAGCAGGAATTGCATTATTTGCATGAGAGTATTATTCATATTAACGTTGTGCTTTTTTATGACTCGTAATATCGTTCGTACAGACAAATGCGGCCGTGTCGCTCTTCTTCACATTTCTTTTTGAAACATATTATAATCGCAAAAAAATGCTAGATATATAATAAGAAATGTTGTATTTTATAAATATTCACGTAATACGATTACTAGAATGATTAATTATTCGTAAAGTACAACGTTTCGTATTATATTTAGCATTCTTCGCGATAAGATTTTAAAATGTAATGTGAAAAACACCGCACGCGACACGACTACCTATTTCTAAGAATTTCAGTAGGGGACCGCGCAGTAATTAAGTGTGAACGTAAACATGACGCGCCGCTCCGTGCCACCCTGTACCATCCTCAACACAAGGTCGCGCGTCACACCGTCTAACTGCGGAAATAATAACGAATATTACGATTAAGTAAAATAATATATTCTTCCCATTTTTAATGTTCTTCGATTAATAAAACAATTCTAGTTTTAACGGCGCGAGTCGTTTAATGTGATATCATAATTATATTGCGATATACCGAAGAACATATTTGGCGTTTATTTTATAATTTTAAATATATAATTTTTCGTATCAATGTGCTAACAAAGGGCAAGAAGTAAAAAGAGATTCTTATTAGCGTGATTTTTCTTATATAATTGCTCACATGAAATGCTTTTGACATCCCAATATTATATTTCAATTTTGATTGCTCTTTTTTGTGATGTACAATTAAATAAAGATTAATAATGTTACATCCTTTAAATAAAGATAAATGCAAAAATTTATTTTAAATTATGAAACAATTTCGACTATATAGAATAATATATATAAATAGCATGCATCTAACAATAAGAATCTCATTTTTATTGTTAGATACCGTACATTTGAGAATATATGAAATATTTGAAATATTCATAAGCTATGCATGTGAGTAATGAATTTAAAAAATAAAGGAAAAAACGTGCAATACCTATTAATCCTTAGTTTTAGGCAACATTAGTTCGCGTTCGTAGATATTGCTATTAATTAATGCGACACGCGGAGCGACTCGAAAACACGTACGTCTCCTTCCGAAATCGCCGAGCGAATGCCAAAGTGATGACGTAGTCAACCACCGCGCCGCACGGCAAGCTCCCCCTTCCTATTCGCCGCGTGACGCGTTACCTCTCCCCTCGCTGTTCGCTTGTTTGCCGGGCGAATACCCTACTATTGCGCGTGAAAAATATTCACAGTTTATTCAATTATTTTACATGATTTCGATAAACGAGAATTTTGATAAACCTTCGTACATTTATCGCTTTACTTTTAGCATCTCTAGCACTTGTTAAATATATTATTTGGTTCTTGTAAATGTAGTCAGTAATTATTTGCATGTGTGAAATATTTTTAATATTCCAACATTATGTCTCAATTTTTATTATTCTTTTAACTGATTCACACTTAGTAAAGGTTGATAATATTCTGTACATCCTTTATACATTTAAAGACTTTACTTGCAAATTTTCTTAATATTGCGAAACAATTTGCGCTAAGTACAGCTTTGACTAAAAGTATAATACTAAATATCTTGTTAATCATTATTTAATTTTTCAGCTAAAATTAATTTATGAGACTACTATTGCAAATTATTCTGTACTGCTTAAAAAATTTTTTAATCTATTCTGTAATGCCAATCATGGCTAAAATAACTGTTACGACATATTTAAAATAAAAGATATAAAATAAGTTTCAGAAACTTATTTAAAATGTAAAATCATAAGAATCAATAAAAAAACTGATATGATTTGTTTAAAATATAAAATATAAAATAGATTCCAGAAACTTATTTAAAATATGAAATATTAATATATAATATTATAAGAAAATATGAAATAAGTCAGAAATGAAATTATTTAAAATATTAAATAACTCTTTAAATTTTTTAATTTAAAATATACAGGGTGTTTAATTTTTTCAGAATTTTTTTTATCAACTTTTTAGTATTACATTTTCTTTTTTTTCCAACATGAGAAAATACGGTATTAAAAAATTCTGAAAAAATTCTGAAAAAATTCTCAGAACTTTATGAGAAGAAAATAAATGATTTTTGTCTCTTGCAGTTTTTCTGTAAAGTTGATTAAAGTATTTGAGTAAAAAATTATTCAAGACCAATATTTGGCAATTTTTAGTAATTAATATCTTGTTAACTATTGCAAAAATTGCAAAATGGCAGAGGACTTTTCGGTTCAGTTTAGTCCTCTCTACCTGCCCATGAAATATTTGGCGATTATTTTCAGATACCCTGTATAAATAAAAAATGTACACTCTGTATACCCCTCAGGTAGTAAGATATTGTCTATTTAACATCATTAAGCCGATTCTACATTAGTTGCAAGCCGATCGCAAATTTGTTGCAACAGCCAATATGAAGTGTTGATTTCAAAATGCAAGCTTCAGATTGGCTGTCGCAACAAACTTGCGATCAGCTTGCAACTAATGTAGAACCGGCTTTAGAGTACGTAGATCTAAAGCAATATCCTGATTAACTCATCGGCTTAGTTCACATCTTAAGATTATTGTTACAGAAATTTTGTCTGCGGCAGCTCTAATGGGCTTTCTACAATAAACCATTAGTCATAAATCAGAAGTCAGAAGCTAAAAATTGACCAATCACAGTCGTCAATTTTTAGCATTTGACTTCTGATTTATGACCAATGCCTTATTGTAGAAAGCCCATAACGCTTATTCTACAATCACGAGCATCGTTTTTGTCCTTGTTTAACATCTAATGAATGATAAGGATGAAATAATTCTATGAGCGTTGCGAACGTTAAGTGGAACGCAGCCAATAGGGTTACAAGTCATAAATCGTATGAAATTGATTAATCACAATTGAATATCATAAAAATAATCGCCTATGATTGATTAATTTCTTACGGTTTATGAATTGCAACTCTATTGTAGAAGTGCGGTCCATTTGACGCTACAAATGCTTCGAAACTTTTGATTAACCAATCAGAAGAAAGAATTTTATTAACTGACCAATCAAAAAATGCTTCGAAGCATTCCATAGCATCAAGTGGACCGTAGCCTAGACAAGCTCAAGGAGTGCGGCTGTGCAGCAGAATGTTGCTGTAGCGATTATAGCCACTGACACCGCTGTTGCGCTTGGTATATGTTCTGTATGATTCTATGCTGTTGGGTGTTGTGTGTACGTTCTTCGGCCTCTTTACGTATCCTTGGCACACTCAGACTGCTTAAAGAGGATCACGATCGCGGTTTGAGGAATAAGGAAGAATAAGGTAAAACCGCCTGTCGAAGCGCTCGTCGCCGCTCGCGTTGGCGCGAGGCGTCGCGATTAAATGAGACGGGGCAGTACTTGGACAAGTATTACGTCTGGTGCGCGAACATGTCTACGGAGACCACCCTGAACGACGTGTCGAACGTCACGTCAAGGCTGCAGAGCCTGCGAGTGGCACACGCCGAGGACGATCCGTCCGAAAATGCGACGGCTGGCTGTTCAACGCCTGGCGGTTCGACGGCATCCAACGGCAGTGCGGCCGACGGCAGCGGGCCGTCATCGTTGCGAGAGCCGCTACGGAATATCACTCTCTCTCGGGCACGACGTGCTCTTAATTTCGTCGGCGACGACGACCAGCCGCTGAGCTCGTCCATCGTACGAAGCGAGGCTTCGTTCTCGAATAGCGATAAGTAAGTAATTTTCTACATCAACTATCAAAACGTTTGTCTGGGGTAAGAAAGAACATGGAACTAACATGCTTTTTATTTGGTGATACAAGCCGACACAAGTGTTGTCTTTGTTATTCATTAAACATTAATAAAGATAGAATGATGTTTATATTTATGTCACTGAATGAAAAGCACCAGTTCTATCTTTCTTAGCATTCCAATGAGTAATAACAATAGAATATTTGTATCACCACCAAATGAAAAGCATCCATTATTTATCTAAATTTCTTGAAATATTAACTCGTAGTATTTGTTGTGATATTTGTTGTTTGAGAATTGTTAATATTTGTTACTTGATATAGTCATACTTTTGATATTTTTAGTCGTCCACCTACTAATGCGGCCAATATATCGTATTTGGATGGACGAACGCAGAATAATGCTACTTTGGAAAATTCTACTACACAGAATCAACCTGTAGTTATGTACAACTGGCAAGGTACAAAGGCAACAATGCGCGAAAGAATTGTATTCCTCTTTAACAATGAAATACTGTCAGACGTGACTTTTCTGGTTGGAAGAGGAGCGCAGCAACAACGCATACCAGCTCATAAACTAGTCTTGTCCTGTGGAAGTGCTGTATTTGATGCAATGTTTAATGGAACGCTTGCAACAGCTTCTTCGGAAATAGAAGTACCTGATGTAGAGCCTGCTGCATTTTTGGCAGTGCTCCTTTTTCTATACACTGATGAAATACAGATAGATCCTGAAACTGTGATGACGACGCTATATACTG